GTTAAGTATCTGCTTTAGGCTCAGGTCCTAGGGTCCTGGGATTGAGCCCACATTGGGTTCCCTGCTCAGTGGAGAGCCTGCTTCTCCCTCTCTGCCTACAGCTCCTCCTGCTTGTGCATTCTCCCTCTCTATCAAATAAATGAATGAAATCTTTTTTTTTTTAAGATTTTATTTATTTGTTGACAGAGACACAGTGAGAGAGGCAACACAAGCAGGGCGAGTGGGAGAGGAAGAAGCAGGCTTTTGCGGGGCCTGAGGCAGCCCGAAGGCAGACGTTTAAGGACTGAGCCACCCTGGCACCCCAAATGAATAAAATATTAAAAAAAAAAAAAAAGAAAAAGAAAAAAATGCATTTAATACACCTACCCAACCAAACATCATAGCTTAGCCAAGTCTAACTTAAATATGCTCAGAACAGGGACGCCTGGGTGGGTCAGTGGGTTAAGCGGCTGCCTTCAGCTCAGGTCGTGATCCCGGGGTCCTGGAATCGAGTCCCGCATGGGCTCTCCTTGCTCGGCGGGGAGCCTGCTTCTCTCTCTGCCTCTGCCTGCCTCTCTGCCTGGTTGTGTGCTCTCGCTCTCTCTCCTTCTCTCTGACAAATAAATAAATAAAATATTTTTTAAAAATATGCTCAGAACACTATAATTGGGCAGCCTATAATTGGGCAAATCATCTAACACAAAGCCCATTTTATAATAAAGTGTTAAATATCTCATGAAATTTATTGAATACCATACTGAAAGTGAAAAACAGAATGGTTACATGGGTACAGAATGGTTTTAAGTATATTCGTCGTTTATCCTCGTGATCAAGTTGGCTGTGTGCTTAATCACTCTTGAGCCACTTTGGGAAAAGTTGTTAAGTTGAACCATCATAAGTTGGAGACTGTAACACTTTCCAAAGTTGCTGACTGTCCCTTCACCTGTGTATTTATTAATCTTGGTGAAGAGAGTGTACCTGGCACTTCTAGGATACATAGTTATAGGTGAGTAGAAAGTTCATGAATAGTTCATGCCAGCAAGCCTACAGAACAAACTGTTAAAACCGTGCCTGACTGTTTAAGCTAGCATATTGAATTTATACATATATATGTATATGTTAATATATAATATTGCAAATATATATATATTACATATATATACTTTAAAATCATTTCCTCCTTAGTCTAGCACTCAAAGAATTTTCTCCTGTATTCTTCATATTATTGTCAACATAAATTTTAAAGTTTCAACTGTCTTGCTATACATCTTGCTATACAAGTTTGATGTTATAATTGGTCTCCGGAATATGCGGAAATCTGATTCTGTTATATGTTTAGAAAAAATGGTATGTGTCGGAAATGGGGAATAAGAAAAATTGGCCTCTTCATGCAAAGTGAAAGCTCTACAGATTAGGTGAGATCTATACAGATTTCCACATAAGGCAGAAACAGTCTTTTCAGTCCAGTGAGTAGGGGCTGCTTTTGTTTGTTGAATGAGGTTCAGTTAAAAGTAATGAGTTAAAGGTATTTGAGTTATTTGAATTCTACCACATGCCCATTTCACTTCTTTGGTTCTGCTCTTTCTTGAACAATGCCTTAATCTTCACAGAAGGGTTCTGACAAGACTATGAATTCAACTAACTTTGTAATTTGGCAACCTATGGGCCCCAACTTTGAGGGTGTTTGGCTCTTTTAGCCCCATGGCTGCAAAGAATAAATTCTTTTGTTATTATCAGAGGAAGTCCTTAATTTTTTATTCCTACTTCAAGCTAAGAATTTAGAAATCTCATTTCGTCATTCTCTTTTAAGCTCTCCAGTGTTAGTATAAATAAAAATTCTACCCCACACTTTAGCCCAAAACTGCCTTCCATGGGTATATCCTTATACCCGTGGAACTTAATCATTTTATATCATATATAGTTAATCATTTTATATCATATGTGTACTGTATGCACTGTGTTCCATAAACACCAGAAGGACTTCTTTTGGTACCAGCTAGATTTTTATGGGTTTCTCAGCCCTGGTTAGGACTAATCCAACTTGTTTCTATTTCCCTGAGGGTCTGTTATCTGCAATGGTTCTTGGAACTCGTATCACAAGTCTTATTTACCTGCAAATACAACTAACTAACTAACTAACTAACTATATATACCTAATTTAAACAAAAGAAAGATTTATAAAAAATCTGGTGTCACAGAGTTCTATGAGACTGGGAGGCTAGCTAGCTAATAAGAATGTATACCTTGTGTTGCAGAGCTGGTCTGCGTTGCAGAGCTAGTCCATTAGCCTGCTAGTATTACAGAAGACAGACACCATATCACCCCACTGATACGACACACTGCCACATTGGATGTCAGCCCGACAAGCCATGTGTTCATGTCTCTATAAGAGTGTGTGTGTGTGCGTGTGTGTGTGTGTGTGTGTGTGTGTGTGTGTGTGGTGGAGGAGTGGGACTAGGAAAGTAAGTATCGGGTAGTTTTAGCTTCTATAGTGGGATGTAGGCTCTCTACTTCAGAAAGAGGAGATGTCCCAAAGAGCTAAAACAAATTAAAAATGTCCATTGCATAAGTCACTGACATATGGGAGGTAATGGAATCAATTAGGAGAAAACACATCGCATTAAATTTAACATTTATGTTGCTTAGTTTTTGTGTTAGTCTGGGTTCTCCAAAAAGCAGATCCATAACGACAAGAGATTTATGGAGGAAAACTAGTGGACATTTTCCAGCAGGAGAGAGAGCAAGAGCACTGTCTGGAAAGGTAAGATATAGAAAACTAAAAGGAAGCAATGAAACTGCAGTGAATAAAGATGCAGAAGTAGATAGATTTTTATAAAATGACTATAGGAGGGGGATGGGATCTCAGAACTAATCTTATTTACCAATGAAGAATTTGAAATAAGTTTAGGAAAGATTGGAAGAACCAGAAAAGGAGTGAAGTCCTGGCACTTAGAGTCACTTCCTAATAGATTACTCCATTAAGTTTCTTTCCCATAGTAAACATCTAAAAGTTGCTGACAAAACCAGTAAAAAGCATAGCTGCACTGAGAATCCAAAAGTTAGCTTCAATAGTAAGAAGCAATGGAAAGGGAAAGCTGCAAATACATGCAGTTTGCTGAAAGTGAAATGCAGTCAGTAAGAAGAATTACTATTTTTTTTTTTTTGTCCTTGCTGGGCTTTATATTAACATATAATGTATTATTTGTTTCAGGGGTAGAGGTCTGTGAATCACCACCCTTACACAATTCATAGCACTCACCAAGCACATAACCTCCCCAATGTCCATCACTCAGCCACCCTATGGGCCACCCCCATCCCCTCCAGCAACCCTCAATTTGTTTCCTGAGATTAAGAATCTCTTATGGTTTGTCTCCCTTGGTGGTCCCATCCTGTTTCATTTTTCCCTCCCTTCCCCACTACACCGCCTGACACCACTCCCTCAAATTCCTCATATCAGTGAGATCATATGATACTTGAAGAAGACTGATTTTTTTAAGGGTTTAATTTATTCATTTAAGTAATCTCTACTTCCAATTTGGGGCTCACACTCCTTACCTTGAGTTAAAGAGACACAGGTTCCTCCCACCCAGCCAGCCCCTGATTTTGATATTTGGAAGCAAAGGTGGTATTGAGGGGATTTATGGTTAACAACGTTGTGGAGGGGAAACGTTATCTTCAGAGATACTTCTGGAAGCAGATTCCAAAGGAGGAACTCGCAACCCAATTGTGATACTACTGAACTTTCAACAGAGATTGCATGGCAAGTGGTGGGTGAACTCAGGAATTTTAACAGAAATAGGAGAGAGGCCAGATTAAAAAAAAAAAAAAATTAAAGCGAGGATTGGGGGGCGCCTGGGTGGCTCAGTGGGTTAAAGCCTCTGCCTTCAGCTCCTGGCATGATCCAGGTGTCCTGGGATCAAGTGGCATTGGGCTCTCTGCTCAGCGGGGAACCTGCTTCCCTTTCTCTCTGCCTGCCTCCCTGCCTACTTGTGATTTCTGTCAAATAAATAAATAAAATCTTAAAAAAAAAAAAAAAGGATGAGAACCTAACTGAAGAGGACTGCTAATACTGTCAGTGCAAGCAGCCTTCATTTGTCCCGAGGATAATTTCATATAACTCTGTAATGATCAATTTCCCAAGCCCCTAACTTGTTTCCACTATTATTTCCTTTTTTTTTTTTTTTTAGATGTTTCCTCTTGAGAAAACTGTGAGGACCCAGAGTATCATCCCGAGTTATAGAGATTTAAGGCTGAATTTCTCCTCACGTTTAGGTAAAGGGATAAAACCTGGGCAATTGTTGGGAAAACCTGAGATTTGCCGCAAAAGACAGTGTTTTTCTGGGGTGCCTGGGTGGCTCAGTGGGTTAAAGCCTCTGCCTTCTGCTCAGGTCATGATCCCAGGGTCTTGGGATCCAGCCCCACATCGGGCTCTCTGCTCAGCAGGGAGCCTGCTTCCTCCTCTCTCTCTCTGCCTACTTGTGATCTGTCAAATAAAATCTTAAAAAAAAAAAAGACAGTATTTTCCTTTGGAGGGCGTGGAGCGCTGTGTTTAAGATTAAGGATGTAAAAGGCCCTAAACACTGTCTTTTGGTTCAGAAAGTCCCCACAGGGGTGAAAAACATCAGAAACAGCCGCCGGATCTTTCCAAGCTGCAGAGCCAAGACTCGGCGGAGAAGGGGCGGGGCTGCGTGCTCCCCGCCCCCCCCTTCAGGATCCCGCTGAGGGCGAGGCCTGAACGCGGTGTTACCACGTGACTCCTTCGCCTCCGAGAGCACCGACGCATGCGCGCCTGTTCTCGACGAGGCGGCCCTTGTGGTGGCGGCGGCTGCTGCGGTGTCTGTGGGACAGAAACGGTGGAAGTGCCATCTTCGGCTTGGTTGGCCCAGACTGCGGCTCATGGCATTGAGTGGCATCCGTCGTCAGGTCCGCTGGGGCAGGCGTTTTGGAATTGGCCGGGCGGAGTGGGGGGGTGGCGGTATTTCGTGGGGCAGGAAGGGGCCTGCCTTGTTTCAGGCCGCACTGGGGTTGCGGCCTCCCTCTTCCGCCCTGTTTGAGGCCTGGCCTGGCCTCGGCTCCCAGCTGTCCATTCCTTTCTCCTTCCCACCTGTTGGGTGGGGCAGAGCGAGGTTTCTTTTCTTAGACCAAACGTTTCTCTGACGAGTGCGCCTTATGAAGGGCGGGGAAATGCGGGCCTCCACCTTGATTTAGGAAGCGTTTTGGGGGTAAGTCTGAAGCCCTAGCTTCCCCAAGGGCTGGAAACCAGTGTGCTGGGGAGACTGGAAGTGGAAGGGGCTCAATAGTAGCCGTCAGAGGATTGAGAGAATTCAAATTCTGTTAATAAAAGCTTGTAGGCGCCTTGTAGTGGCGCGTTCCGCGTTCCGACTACGCAAGCCATGCTGTTGGGACCCTGAGTCACAGCACCTCAAAGATCAGCCAGAGCTTTGGCAGCATAGGATAGAATCAGAAAAAAAGACGCTAAAGATCCTAGTAGGATCTTCTAAAGACACCTGTTTTAAAGTAATGCTTACCTTTTGTAATCAGAGACCGACACTAAGTAGTACTGCTCTTTATCTGTTATTGATGATTATAATACTGTATTATTTTATGCCGATTGAATTGTTTTTGGTTCGATGTCCATGTTGCCTTATTTTTAAGGACTTGAGATTATTTGGCAACTGATCCAGTCTGTTCAGAAATACTTTAAACTTTTTTACAGCTGGAAAGGTTGAACCTTAAGAAAACACATTTTATACAGGGAAATGTGAAGCTCATGTTGGAACTTAAGTGTTTTGGTCTCTCTGGGAGCTTAAGTAGATTGAAAAAAACAACTGTCAGGTAACCCCCTCCCCCCCTCCCATTTATAACCTCATTCTAGAGTTGCAAAAGTTGGAACTTTCCACTGTTCAGCTTCTGGTAGGTATAAAGTGAACGAAAGGAGTTGTGCTAAAAAACTCTAATTCGTAGATTATGAACTCTGGAATAATTAGGCATTGACCAAAGATGGCTAATTAGTGTCGGGGTATTTGGTAATATTTTTACTTGTTTACCTATAGTTGAGTAAGAAGAAGAATTTTATTTTATTTTTTAAAGACTTTTTTTTTTTTTTTTAAGATTTTGTGTATTTATTTGACAGAACACAAGCAGGGGGAGCAGCAGAGAGAGAGAGAAGCAGAGTCCCCCTGAACAGGAAGCCTGATGGAGGGAGGGCTCAATCCCAGGACCCTGGGATCATGTTCTGACCCTATGGCAGTCATTTAACTGACTGAGCCACGCAGGCGCCCCCCAAAAATTTTATAAATCAAATGATAGAAGGTGTGTGTACACATGTGTCTTAAAGAAAAAGAACAGGGGCGGCTGGCTGCCTCAGTCAGTAGAACAGGTGACTCCTGATCAGTGTTCAAGCCCCAAGGTGGGTGTAGAGATTATTTAAACCTCATAAAGAGAAATAACAGAACCTTTTATGGTATGTTAATAACTAATCTGCATGAAACATAGGATTTTGTATGTTTGTGAAAAATAGTCAAAGGAGAAAGAAAGTAGTTCCTGTCGAATGGTAATTTTTTTTTTTCCCTAAAGACTTAAGAGGTGATGCAGTCATTTATGTAAATATATGTATACAAGGTTGAGTTTCTGGAAAATATTAAGTGTTTAATATGTGGTAAAATAAAAAAGGTCAGTCTGTGGACATTCTGCTTAGCCTCTGAAAATAGTTTCCCAAACAAGTGGTTATGGTAGTCTCTTCTTAACAATTTGTGTCTTCAAATTGGCTTATCTGAGGATGAGGAACAGAGTAACTTGTAGATTGGAAAGCTAGTTGATTTGTAATACTCAAACTGATTTTTTGGTCCTTAGTGATGACTTTAGATTTTTCTGTGTTGCTTTGTTTATGAAAAGAAAAATACGTGGTATGATTTTGAGTGCCTAGAGAGAGTTAAGAGAGAAGGTATTAAATTAGACTTAACATTTTTAATTAAGTATGGGTTAAATGATCCTCCAGAAGACCTTTTAAATTTTAAGATGGCATGCTGAATTGTTAGTGAAATGTTTAAAGTTTGCTATAACTAAACTAAAAGTTGAATGTATGATGTAGAACTGTATTTTTTAGTGTATATGTAGTCACATTATAATTTATCATGTTTCCTTTCATGCTTGTGGACTTGGGCCTCTAATACGATTTTATAAGAAAGTGAAATGTAGAAGGGCATTGGTTGGTTTGTGAATTGAGAAAAGGAAAGTTTGTTAGTCTAAGAGAATAGAGTAAGCCAGGGTTCGGACATGAAAAATACATGGAGCCCTGTAAAAAGCAATGAGGAGGAATACTGTAGGATTAGTATATTTGAAAAGCTGAGTTGGGACCAGATTTGTCACTCCACTTTTTCAACAGAGATTTAATGTGCTGTTACATACTAGACACTGTTTTAGGTTCTAGGAACACAGTGGTGGATAAAACCACGGCCTCTGTTCTGCTCATTTTAATATTACAGTAATATTAATTTATCTGTAGCAGTAGTATAGCAGTATTTTTCAAGTTTTTTGACTGTGACCCATAGTAGGTTGTGCATGTAATATTGCATCCAAATAAACAGTAATTGCATTCTGTGTGTATTTCGGCATGCCCTTAGTGTGTGCATGAACTCTGATATACTGTTTTCAATTCTGTATTTTTCCATTTAAAAAAATGAGAAGCTGGGATGCCTGGGTGGCTCAGTTGGTTAAGCGGCTGCCTTCAGCTCAGGTCATGATCCCAGCGTCCTGGGATCGAGTCCCACATCGGGCTCCTTGCTCGGCGGGGAGCCTGCTTCTCTCTCTGCCTCTGCCTGCCATTCTGTCTGCCTGTGCTCACTCTCTTTCCCTCTCTCTCTGACAAATAAATAAAATCTTAAAAAAAAAAAAAAAACTTTAAAAAAAAAAAAATGAGAAGCTGATTGGAATCAGTCTGAAATTTGAAAAACATTACTCAAGAGGCGATGTAAAATAGGGGTGCCTGGCTGGCTGAGTCAGTAAAGCATGTGGCTCTTGATCTCTGGGTTGTTAGCGTCCCATGTTGAGTGTGGAGATTGCTTAAATAAACTTAAAAAAAGAGGGGAGATGATAATTACTGAAATTGTAGTAATAGCACTGTGAATGAAGAGGATATTTAATCTTTATGGCAAGGTATTTGTGATTATTTTGTGAATGAGGCTTAGAGAGGTTAAGTATCTTGCTCAGTGTTCCCTAATGAGTAACTGGGCCAGATCTTCTTTTTTTTTTTTTTCCTTAAGATTTTATTTATTTATTTGAGAGAGGAAGAGAGATAGTGACAGAGTGAGAGAGAGCACAAGCAGGGAGGAGAGGGAGAAGCAGGCTCCTGCTGAGCAGGGAGTCTGACACAGGGCTCAATCTCAGGACCACCTGAGCCAAAGGCAAATGCTTAACTGACGAAACCACCCAGGCGCCCCTGGGGCAGATCTTTAATTCAGTTCTGTTGGACCCTAAAGCCCAAGTACTTTTTTTTTTTTTTTTAAATGATGTTATTTATTTATTTGACAGAGCGAGAGAGCGCAAGCAGGGAGAATAGTAGAGAGAGAGGGAGAAGCAGGCTCCCTGCTGTGGAGGAAGCCCTATTTGGGGCCATCCCAGGACCCTGGGATCATGACCTGAGCTGAAGGCAGATGCTTCACCATCTCAGCCACCCAGGGACCACCCCTAAAGCCCCAGTACTCTCATTTGGTTATGAAAGTGATATATTAGTTTTTATTCTGGGAGGACTAAGGACTCAGATACTGTTTATTTATTATTCAGTGAATTGAGTGTGTAGTACTAGGCCTCCTGGTATGTTGTATCCCTGTGTATTGGTAGATCTGGTCTTGACTCACAAGAAATTTGTAGTCTAGGTGGAAAGATGATATCAAATGAGTACCACAAATGTGATTTGTGCTATGGAGAAAAAGAATTCTGTGGAGCATCATGGAGGGAACCTAACTAATTTGGAGTATATGGGGAAACTGTCTAGGAAGTGGTGTTTAAACTTTCCATGCAGAAGAATGAGTAGGCTTCAGCTAGGTTGAAGGTTCTAAGTGGGGGTGGGGTAGGGGGTGGGAGAGTATTCCAGATGGAAGAAACTGGGTACACTAAGGCCTTGAAGTGTAAAGGAGCTGAACTGGAAAACAAAACAAAACCAAATTTCAACAAAAGGAGAATTTCTTGGCTGCAGAAGTTGGTAGAGAATGGGGAGAGTTTTGGTGTTAGAACGGATTTGAATCCTGTCTCTTTGCCTTACTAACTATATAACCTTTAACAAATTAATATTAGTCAGTTTTGTTTTTCCTATTCTTAAAAATGAGTAAATGGCATTCATCAAAATACTTGTTCAATAAATGGTGTCTCAGGATTATGACAAATAGCTAGTAATTGAAATCATAGCAGTATATGATGATATACTTTCATTCATTCATTCTTTTCACAAATGTCTTCAGTGTGCCACGCAGCTCAATATGCAGTAATTGAAGTGTGTGTGTGTGTGTGTGCGTGCGCGTGTGTGTGTAGTCACAGCAAATGTCACAAAAGAATATACCCTTACTGTGTGCAAAGCAGTCTGATAATATTTTTTCCATTTTATTTTTCATTTGCAAAATAGGAGAAAAAGCTGGTCTGAAGCAGTCTACAGTTTGAAAAATACTGTTGTAGTGGGGAGATACTGATTACTTAAACTACAGCAGTACTTCTGTGAATAAAAAGAAGTGGATGGTTAATTCTTATGTTAGGGTATTCTAAATAAGTAAATTATTATGTTAGAGTATAATATTATGGATAAAAGAAAAAAAAGAGGACAGTAAAGGGGATCAGATACAGTAAAAGGGATCATGTATGCTGGGAATGGGAGCAAGTTAAAATTTTAAATAGGATTACCCAGGTAGGTCTTACTGAGAAAGTGACCTACCTACCAACCTCCCTTCCTCTCTCTCCCTCCTTCCTACCTTCCTTCCTTTCTCCCTAGATTTATTTATTTGAGAGAAAGGGAGAGGTCGTGGGCTTGGAAAGGGAGAGAATCTCAAGCAGACTCCCTGCCAAGCACAGTGCCCCACACCAGGCTCAGTTTCAGGACTCTGAGATCTTGACCTAAGGTGAAATTAAGAGTCAGACACCCAGAGAAGGTGGCATATCAATAAAGGAGGAGTTAAGGAAGGCATCTGGGAGAAAATCACTCTGGTAGAGGAAACAGCCAATTTAAAGGCTCTAAGCC